CATTATTCACAATACTTATCTCTTAGAACAGGGTACCTTTTGGAGACTGCTAGTGCATAAATACTGCAAATGGAACTGCCTATCATTCTCCCACATTTTGATTAAGCAAACTGAACAATCCTTATTTGTTAGAAACCTTCCCTTATTGTTTAAACAAATCTCTGTCAGGAATTGAGCGAACAAGTTATTGCATGCCAATATTCTGAAAATATTCTCTGAGGCACTTAACTGAATGTCGAGCAGAACAACGGCAATTTTCATCCCTATTTTGAACTTTCTTTTTTAAAGTTTCTTATGGTCACTCACAGTTTTTTTTTCCCAGTGAATAACCTTTTCACTGTCTTATGAATACTTTTTTTTTAAAGTCCAATCTACTCTAAGGCCATGTTGGACATCTGTGATTTGTGAACACAGAAATATACAGAAAGAGATCAAATTAATTTACTGTGGTGAGTGAATAATAATCCTTGCATTTGATATAGTGCCTTATCACGTTGTTAAGATGTCTCAAAGTGTTTCACGGAATATACTATAAAGTGAATTGATAATATAATTTTGGGGCAAAACGCAGCAGCCAATTGTGCACAGCAATGTCCCACAAACAGTCATGGATTAAGTGACCAAATAATTATATTATTTATTTTTTCAAGGGATTATTACTCTGAAAGCAATCCGCCAATCAACTAACAACCGGGTTCCTACTTACTAATAGGTAAACAGAGGCGTGTGGAGTAAGAAAACTTGCCTTAAGGTTTTGCCTTGCCCAGGAATTGAACCCAGGTCTTGTTGCTTGCAAGGCAAGTGCTCTAACCACTACGCTACGAGATTCCACACTTTTTACTTCAATGTGATGCAATGATAATCTTTGGAATCATCACAGAATTCAAAAACAAAGTCCTAAATCTTTAAAATAGCGGCTTTGTGGCTGGACTGAAATTGCAAATCCAGAATAAGAATAATTCACCGATTTTATAAATGGCATTTTGGGATCTGAGAGCTTGAAAATTCTGAATGCAGGAAAATCTCTTCAGAAATGCGATAAACAACTGCCATGAACTAGCTAAATGGGAAAGCATGCTCAGCTTTCTCTATTCCTATGAGTGGTTATATTTTATCAATCCTATTTATGTTCCTATGAGTGCAGCTATTCAGCTATTATGCTAATCCTCAAACACTTCTCTTACGTTTATCTTACTGATTCTGGTTGATTATCGAGAATTAATTTTCTAGCCAACCGGGTGTCTGAACAACAACAACAACAACAACAAGATTCCATTTATAGAGCGCCTTTCACGTCAGGAGGACGTCCCAAGGCGCTGCACAGTTGGGTCATGACCCGAGCAGGGGGGAAATGGTCAGGGTGAGGGGAGGGAAGGGAGGGAGAGAGGAGGGGGAAATGGTCAGGGTGAGGGGAGGGAAGGGAGGGAGCGAGGAGGAGGAAGAGAGTCGAGAGGGGAGCTGAAGGCACGGTCAAAGAGAAAAGGTTTTGAGACCGGCCTTGAAGGAGGAAAGGGAGGAGGCGGCGAAGGCACTGGGGGATGGAGTTCCAGAGCCTGGGCTGAGAGGCTGAAGGCCCGACCACCGATAGTAGGGCGGTTGGGGCGGGGGACGTGGAGCAGACCGGAGCCAGAGGAACGGAGGGTACGGGCAGGTAGGTAGGGACACCTATGAAAACCAATGAACACCTATGAAAACCAATTACCGTGCTTAAAATTATTCTGAAGCCACTTAACTTGCATTGGGAGCACGGTTTGGCAAAAGTCAGAAGGTTTAAGCCCAGCATTGTGGTGTTGAGCTCACTGGCTACGCTGACACTCAAGTGCTGCTGAAGTGAATAGTAGAGATGCTGCATTATCAGAGGTGCAATTTTGGATGAGATATTAAGCCAAGATCCCTTCTGTCTGATTAAGCGACATATAAGATCCTAGCCAGACATCCTGGCTAACAACTCTCAGATAAAATTGTTCATTCATGGTTTTTTGGGGGCCTTTGCTGCGCACAAATCGGCTGCTACATTTGCCTACAAAATCCATAGTCACTACAGAGTATATCCTGTGAAGCGCTTGGAGACATCGCAAAGATGCGGTAAGGCGCATATCAAACACAAGGATTATTATTATCATTTTCTAAATTTGTGAAGTTTATATTAGGTGTGTGCTTGTGGTTTTCCAAATCTCAATGCCATTATCCAGCACAATATTACATTAGTGAAGTTTTTTGTTTCTTTCACGGTTCTCTGGCCACAATAGATAATATTTCCATTACCTTTGAATGTTATTTCATTCTCTGCCTGCAAAATAAAGTGTTTATAAACCACCATCTGAGTTGCAAGCGAGCACAGTCATTGCTTGTGATCCAATTGGTCATGTTGGAGTGAAGGATAAATAGCAATGTGGGTTGAGATCCTGTCACTCAGGCCCTTGATATATATCTCAAAAGGATTGTTATTTGCACTGAAAGAACTTCAAATAAAGTCATCCCCTTCTTTAGTCTAATCATTTTGTGCTGGGGACTTTTTGAAGTTGGCAATTCAGATCTCGTGCCTTCGTGAGGACATTAATCGATCTTATTGTTAGGCTTCAACCAGGGACTTGTCCAACGAAGTTTGCCCCATTTCCATTTTATTAGATTGCAGTTGTTAGTAAAGAGCAACAGGTGAACGAAGGTACTGCTCAAACACTGGGTTGTTGAGAGAAGATTAAACAAAAGGAGTAGTGGTATGAATAATTTAAATCAGAAATTGAAAAACATTTTGTAGGTAGATAATTTTAGTGTCCCTTGTGGATTTTTGAAGAGTTTTTTTTCATAATAGGCATAACATTAGACAACAGTTTGTGCTGCTGAACGATGAGAGTGTGACAGATTAGTTTGGGAGATTATACCGGAGAATGAAGGTGCAAATGGATTCTCACTGTTGATTTTAATGACATTACTGATCCCAGAGCAAAGATGATGGGAGCTTTAATGGCAGGAGCTGAGCAAAGATAGATATTAATAGAGCAAACGTTGATTTAATAACATGAGGGGAGTGGGGAAACATTGAATAAACAACACGAATGTTTGGAATGGAATGCATCCAATGATTCTAAAGGAAGGGAAGCAGGAAACATGGGGAGAGACAGAGAAATATTCACTAGCTCAGAGATACCAGGAGGCTGATTAAAGTGGTGCTGACCATTAAAAAGGGCAGACGTGGAGAGATTTATAAGCCAGTGTGTGTAGATTCAGCAGCAGGGAAAGGAGTTGATGATAAAGGATAGAATTGAGGGACTTCTGCCGATAACACGTTATCAGCAAAGGTCAGAAGTGATTTATGAATGAGGTGTTCTTCTTTCTTCCAAGGTTCCAGGATTATTGTGAGAACGTGATGAAGTTATTAGACCAAGGGAAATAAATGTTGTGTTCAATGGGGATTGATGAACGTTGGTGTCCATGAGGTTAATGTTATTTCTGAGGTGATGGGTGAAATTTGCAGTGATTCATAATGCATTGTGGAGTCCTGTAGCTCAGTGGTTGAGCACTCGCTTTGCAAGCTAGAGATCTGAGTTCAATTCCAGGCAGGGCGAAACCTTGGGCAAGTTTCCTTACTCCACACAGAGCCTAATAATAATCCCTCCAAAACCAAAAACAATAATAAATTGGTCATTTTCAATCCATGACTGTTTGTGGGACATTGCTGTGCGCAATTGGCTGCCGCGTTCGCCCACAAATATACAGTCAATTCACTTTACAGTGTGTTCTGTGAAGCGCTTTGGGACGTCCTCCCGACGTGAAAAGCGCTATATCAAATGCAAGGATTATTATTATTATTATTTGATATGAGATTGGATCGATCTCATTGGAAAACGCCAATTATAACATATCGCCAGGTGCTAAACAACACATGCTGCAGCTACGACATAAGATAATTCATGAGGTGAATGACTAGTTTATCTGAAGGATTATTTGCCAAGATGCCAGGAGAAAATCCCTTTGGTTCTCAAATGGTTTAATGGGATCTTCACAGCTTTTACAATCATTGGGCCCAACCCCCCCCACCCACTTTGACTCCCATCCCCAATTTGAATGCCCAGCCAGCATTGTCGTGCTTCGAAACCTCAGAAGGGTGCTATATAAATGTAAATTGTATTGTACAATAGAATACAATACAATTTAGATTTAAACGTACCCACGGAAGGACGTCTCAAAGCACTTAACAACCATTTAAGGACTACAGGCAGACAGGCTTAAAGTTTCATCCAAAAGAAAGCATCTACAACAAGTGCTCCTCATTACTGCACTATAGTCTCAGCTGAGACCATGAGCTCCTGATATGGTGCTTATATATACCACCTTCCGGACCAGAAAAGCAAGTGCTACCGACAATCTTGGTAGAAGAGATTGAGCTGAGAAAGCAAAGATTTATTTTCAGATGCAGCCCAAGTCTGGGGATGTGATTGTATCTGTCTAATGCGTTAGTCAATGAGTTTCCCAAACATCATGCTGAAGCTGGACAGTGCTGTTCTGGTGTAATGCTGTACGTGGAACACTGTTTCTGTGTTAGCTTTTGTGTGAAGCAAATTTGTGAAAATAGATTTAATAACAAAGTGGGTTAGGAGAGAAAGGAAAACTAGGAGATGTCTCACACAAACTGCACACACCCCATTAGCCAAATTACTGAACTTCCAGCAATATATTCCTAACATTGCCTTTGTCACCAGCAGAATTTTAATGTCTGCATTTGAAACATCTGCTTTTGCTTTGTAACTATTTCAGATAGTGCAAACCTGGATTTGTAGAGCTATGTGACTGGCATGTAAACTTGAACCATAATTTGCCCACAGAACACACAGTCACTGCACCTTACGGTATATCCTCTGAATCTCTTTGGGACATCCTCCCGACATGAAAGGCTTTATTATAATAATAAAATAATAATTATTCCATTTGATATACCGCCTTGCATGTGAAGTGAACATCCCAGTTAATGGTTTGCTTTTGTAAACTTCTTATTGTTCCAGGTACCAGTTTTCATGGCTTTGGATACTTGTCTCTGCCATTGCAAGACTTTCACTTTGGTGAGTCGGCAACATTATCCTTGCGCTTCTATACACTCGCATCCTACGGAGTCCTCCTGACATTGGCTGATACTGCAAATTCCTATGATCCATGGCTCTTACTACTGGAGGAAGGACATCTTACTATCCAGCAAGGACTAGATAGTAAACGCAATTCCAAACTTGTCACCAAACATCCAGTCAACCTTGGCCACTGGCACCAGGTATGGGAAGATATTTATCACTTCACCTGAAAACGCCAAACATGAAACAAATCATTACATAGTATTATGTTCTGCAACTATCTTCATATGGATCTACCTTTGATATTGAACAGAACAATTTATTTTATACATGGGTCTCACAAGATAGTGCAAAATCAATATTGCATGAGTTATATAATGTTACTCTTAAGGTCAAATGTAATGGAAAGAGTTGTTGCCTCCCAACTGCCAAAACGACCTGGCGGACCTTAAAATACACGCCGCTGAATATCAGTAACCGTTGTGAGTACTAACCCGTGA